AAAGGTAACTAGTGGGGTGCCACAGGATTCAGTCCTTAGGCCCAGTGCTCTTCAACATTTTTATTAACGATTCAGATGACAAAGTATGATAATCATATTTACAGATGATACAAAACTGGGTGGAATAGGGAACTCCCTGGAAGACAGAATGAAGATTCAGGGTGATTTTGATAAGCTTGAACACTGGGCTGAAAGCAACAGAATGAGATTCAGTAGGGACAAACACCAAGTCTACTACCTAGGAAAAATAAACCAAGATGGGGCATACTTGGATCAACTACACTGAAAAAGAAAAAGACCTTGGACTTATTGTGGACAATAACTAAATATGAGCCAATGATATGACAATAGCTAAATATGAGCCAACAATACAGTGAAACTGCAAAAAGGGCAAAGGTTATTTTGGGATACATTAATAAAAGTATTACTTCCAAATCATGAGGAGTAATTGTTCCCCTATACCAGTGATGGCGAACCTATGGCACACGTGCCCAAAGGGGCATGCAGCGCCATCTCTGTCAGCTGTGCGCATATTCGGAAAGATTAAGGGAGCCAGGCAACTACATCACTCATTAGCCACGACTCACCAAGCTTTCGCATGGCCAGTCAGTGAGCTGCCAGGAATTGCTTGGACTGTGATTTTAGAAGAAGGTAGGAAAGGTAGGAAATACACTCAGATGCCTTTTTCAGGGCTGGCCAAAAGCTGGTGGTCAGTAGAATGTTGCCCCCTTGTGTTGGTGGTCAGCAAATTCAGGTTTTATTGCAGTTGGCACTTTGCGATAAATAAGTGGGATCTGAGTTGCAGTTTGGGCACTCAGTCTCTAAAAGGTTTGCCATCACTGCCCTATACTCTTCACTAGTCAGACCTCATCTAGAATACTGTGTTCAGTTCTGGGCACAAAGATTTAAGAAAGATGCAGAAAAAATAGAAAAGTTCCAGAGAAGGGCAACAAAAATTATCCAGGGTTTGGAAACATTGTCCTACAAAGAGAGACTGAGAGAACTAGATATGTTCAGCCTTGAGAAGAGAAGACCAATGGGGGCCATGATGTCATTTGATAAGTACCTGAAAGGCTGTCACAGAGAGATGCAACAAGGGTCCTTCAGACCAGGACATAGGACATAGAATAATCAGTTCAAGTTATGACACATCAGTCTAGTGTTGGGAAAATTTGGATAAATCCTGTCAGAAAAACATTACTTCTGTGTGCTTTTGCATTGTGGGATCAAATCCTGTACTCCTTCTCAAACCAAGCTGTCACTGTTTAAAATGGCATCCCTCCCCCACTCCTTTCTCTCACCTTTAGCTGTAAGCTACAGTAGACAGGCCATTTAGTCCAAATATACATTGTAAATAATCATTGTTGGAATTCACAGTTTACAAGGAAGTATCTTTTGCTAGCTCAGAGGGCTTCACGTGCCCTGGTCATTCAGAATGTCTAGAGTCTAGATAAGGGTCTGAGTTCATGAATAGTTTCTCAGCAGCTTGAATCTACATGTCTAAGCAGACCTGGAGATGGATTCAAGTTATTCAACTAAAGTGTCAATACACTGCAATCAGAAATATTGTAATCTCATTGTCTCTGTATGATTGACTGACATTCCTTTATCTGTTCTGTATGTGATGACCTCAGAATCTTATTGTAATGTCTGCATTCTGTCATCAATTGCCCTGCACCTGTGTACCTATAAAATATCCTGCAATGGTATTGAAGCTTTGCAGCAGAGTTTACCTCTGCCTGCACGGTAATGCATTATCGTGAGTCTACTGCAGGAACCTGGGTAATACAATAAAGCCAAGATGGTCTGGATGCTTGATCTTTCCCACGAACCCAAGTTTTATTTCCTCCTCACAAATTGAGATTCTGGGATTTTCTGACACTAGATATCAGGAAAAGTTTCCTCACTGTCAGAGCACTATGACAGTGGAACCAGCTGCCTAGAGAGGTGTTGGGCTCTCCCACACTGGAGACATTCAAAAAGGACAGCCATCTGAGTGGGATGGTGTAAATTGGTGACCTGCAACAGCAGGAGGTTGAATCCAATGGTCTTCTTGGCCCCTTCTAAATTTGTAGTTCAAAGATTCTATGATATTTGCCCTTAAATTTGTACCAAAGACTTGTGCATTTTATAAGGAGCAGTCTTAACTACCTGGGGGCAAAGGGGGTGAGTAGGAGAGAGCTAATTTAGTTGGTTCAGCTTTCTGAATAGACACACAACCCAATGTGTGTTGAGACCAGGTAAGACATTTTTAAAGGGCTCTTGAGCTTCCTCTACACTATTTGCCCACTTGTGTAAATGCTGTTAATGCAGGATTTGAAGCAGAGACTAGAGGGCTCTTCCTCACTGGCCTTACACCTCTGAGATGGGCTGCCATCAAGGGTCAATCCAGCTTCATCACTGCAGACATTTAGGAAACCTCTGAATACTTGTTAACCCTAACCTTCCCCAGGTGCGTTTTACTGGACTTTTCTGGTTTGTAGCTGTGTTGTGTGATTTTAGTACTAAGCTAGATGTTTTATTGTTGGGACTTGTAATTGATTTCTGCTATTTTATTGCTGAATTGGTTTTTATTATAATGTGGTTCTAAGTGTTGCAGGATAGTTTGGGATGGCTGCTGTCCTAAAAGAGAGCCTAGAACTATTTTAAATATTTTAAAATGTAAATTCCATTTTGGCCAATGCAGGTTTTTCACCAGTGACAATAAAAAGCACTTGCAAAACGTTCTAGCACTGATAGGTGTGAAGGGATGATTTGAAACAAGGTAGTAGGAAGATTTAAAAGGTAACAAAGAAAATCAGTTCTCCTAAAAGAACAGGATTGGGGGGGGGGGGGCTAAGATCAGATAGCACAAAGTGAGAGAAAACAGACATGTAGGTAGGATGGTCAAATACTGGCTCAATAACTTTCAGATTGTTTATTGACAAGCTTGGCAGGACCAAACGAGCCTATTGTAGCTCACCAGGGGCAGGGCTGGATTGGGAAGAAGGGCCGGTATTGGAGCAGCGTGGAGTAGGCGGGCGGAAAGATTGTAAACTCCCAGTACCCTAGTCAATAAGGGGAAAGGAAGAGGGAAAAGCGGCCAGGAGCAGGGCATAAAATGGAATGTGAACTCAGCTCAGTTGAACTGGAAAATGGGAAGAAACCATTTTTCAAATCCCTTTGTTGCAATAAAGTTTTAAAAAGAACTCTCTGCATGCTTGGAATATTTTTCTCTTCCGAAGGAAAGGAAAGAGCGTTCTTAACAGCACTATTCATGCTATATCAACCTACTTACTTACTGAGGTACAGATAAGGAAAAGCAGACTATAGTGCCAAACAGGAAGCTCCCTATACTGAGTCATATGATTGGTCCATCTAGTTCAGGATTTATAGACTGGCAGTGGCCCTCCAGTGTTCCAGACTGTTAGGAACCCTAACTGGAAATTGTCATTTCTTTACATAAAACTTTGCAGAATAACATAAGCAGGAAAAGACAGATTTCTGCCACAAGGAGCATGAAATTGAAATTTGTGAGTGAGGCCACAGATGGTGGTAGCACAAAGGTAAAAGGACAAATGCAAGCAAAAGTGATAGCATGCACAGATCTCATTGAAATTAAGCCTCCCCTAATGAAAAACAGTTTTAACCAAAAGTAGTAATCTTTTTTTGGTGAAAAAACACAGTAAAGTCAACCCTAAGCATATGCATGGGAGCTGCGGGTAGGGTGTAGTCCAGGTATAAAGCTCCAAAATCCATATTGTGTAATATTTTCATTAGTATTAGTATTATTATCAGGAGACAAAAATCACCAAAAAAAAATCATGCTTCTGAGATGGAAAGCCTGCATGTTTCTGTGGTCTCTTGGTTACTTAATAAAGGTATTACAAAGGAGTCTCTTTTATTTTTCAGTTGCTGGGCACATTTGGAATTTTGAAAGTGTCATGACCACTCTGATAAAGGCTAGTCATGCACTGTTCATTCCCTAGAAGGCAAGCTGGAGAGGCTAGAGAAGGCTAACTTGCTGAAGAGCCTACATCCAAGGCAGAGGTGGGGTCTGAGCTACAAAGCACAAATCAGTTTTCCAATCCAAATAAAGATGGTATTGGAGGGCAGTACTTTGCTCTGCAGCATGGCAACCTCCCAGTTCAAACCTTTTCAGAAAAAAAAAAATTAAGAGATTAAAATCAGGAAAGGTAGCGAGCCTAGTTGGCAGCAAGAGCAGTGTCCACCAAGGTGTCCGTGAAACCATAGTGGAAATCTGAGTATTAAAGTTTATTGGTTCTGAATTTTTCTTAGGGCCAGGACATTTACTTTTGCTTTGTTATATAGCCTAGGTATAAAAAGCAATCAGCTGAGCTCTGCACAGGTGCAGAACCCATATGTGGGAGTGGAATTACACAGAGAACAGACAGAAACATAGACCGTGAACGGGTCCGCAAACACAGGCTCATACTGGCACTTGAAGAAAGTCAGGATTGTCTGTGTTTCCATTTGAGGCTCCACAGTGACAAACCAGGATTTCTAGAAACATGATGCCTTCTCAAGGTGGGTGATTCTGACATTCTAAAAATAGAAGTTTTGACGTAAAAGAGGTGCACGTACGCGCAGTTTGTACTGGAAGAGTAAGTAGACCTTTCTTCCAGGAGGCTGGGAAGTTTGAGGCAGGCAGGGCTGCAGAGAGCAGAGCGGCACGCAGAGGGTTAATCCAAGAGCGACTTGCGCCTCTTGCCGCTGCCTCTGCGTCCATTTCTTGCTCGCCTATTGAGCGGCTCCGTATTACATCACCTTCTCTAGAGCCCATTCGCCGAAGGCCGGCTCTTCTCTCCCATCCAAGAGCAAAGCAGCCCCTGCCCAGCCCGTAAGACTCCTGCTTCCTTCGCAGCCGGGCCAGCGGGCTGCTTGGGACGGGAGGCGTGCAGGGCGCGCGTGCGTCGTCGGGGCTGATCCCTTCCCTCTGGCCTCTCCAGCGTCTGGGCGCACCTGGGCCCCTGCCGCGCTACAAGCGAGTGAGGAAAAGGATGGCGGAAAGCGAGTGCGAGACCCCCAGCACGCCGGGGGAGTTTGAGAGCAAATATTTCGAATACAATGGGGTTCGCCTGCCCCCTTTCTGCAGGGGAAAGATGGAAGAAATCGCCAATTTTCCAGTGAGAGATAATGATGTCTGGATTGTTACCTACCCCAAATCAGGTACAAGACATGGCTGAGCTTGGGAGGACGAGGGCTGAGGAGGAGGAGGAGGAGGAGGAGGAGGAGTGAGGGATCGCCGATGATCCCCATGCAGTCAAGGGCTGGGATGTTTTTCCTTCCAACTGGCACCTCTCCTCTCGTCCTTAAAAACAAGTTCGATTAATTACTTGTTTTCTGGTTTATTCCAGTAAACACCACGAAGGACAAATGTGGTACTTGGAGCAGTGATTGCAGGGGAGCGACTTGCCTGACGCAGAGGTGTGCAGTATAAATTATCTGTTCGTACCTGTCGCTCATCTTGATCACTGCAAGGTGAGAGGTGTTCAGTGCTGGATGTACGTTCGAATGTTCTGCTGCACGTACATTCAGCACTGCACACCTCTTACCCTTGGGCAATTTTTGCACACGCCTTTTAAGAGAATTGCCAGCAGTGTGGAGTGTAATAAGGCGCAGGGATACTGGATGCATCGTCCTCTGTTTACGTGCTGCGTGAGCCGAAGCACGCTTCCTCAGACATAAGCGCGACCGAGTGCAATGGGATTTGCTTCCTAGGGAAGAGGGCACAAGGGATTTTTAGGGCCAGAAGCAGGAAATCCAGTGGTACCTACCCATGGCAGTAAACAATATAATGGAAAGTGAAGCAACTGAGAATTTCCTCTTATACCCAGATCTGCCTACTGGCCACCTTTGTGTGCATGGATTTCAGATTTAGAAACTGAATTTAATGTTTAAAGCATTAGGAGTAAAATCCTATACTGTCTCACTTGGGAGTAAGCGCCACTGATCTCAGTACAACTTACTTGTGAGTAAACAGGCATAGTCTTAGGCTAAGGAGATCCACAAAATTGTAAAGAAATCTGAGATCAATGTCAGGCTAGAAGCTTCTAAGACCTGTGTTAATATAATTTGGTGGAGAAAGTGGTAGTGGGAATTGCTCAACTCTTATGAAGTACTGATTGATTATAGAAGAGATTCAAGATCAGTCTGCTGCTTTTATTGAACGAGCTCTTCATGGCATAAATGGCTCCATGCAAAATTATTTTATGGATCCACTACCACAAACTGTGGTGACCTCCCCAGCCTGGAGATGGCATTAAAAATGGATTAGACATGATGGCTAAATGGAGCTACTGGATAATACCACATGCAGGGGGTAGGGGCAAGTGTTCACACAAATAGGTAAGGTGAATCCCCCACTTGTAATTGCCAAGAGATAGCTGGTTGGCTGCTTTGGCTGGACAAGATAGATTCAGCAAGGTAGACAGAGATCCAAACGAGTATTTTCTGTCCTATTTTTCTTTAACATCTACTGCTGTCACTCATACAGTGGATAGATGGAGATAGCTAAGTATGTTCATTATCTAGGGAAAATCTGACCATGATAGGAAGAATAATGTTCAGGAAAAGATACATTTTAAAAAATAGGACACAATTTAGGGAGTTGTAACAGCATTTTCTGTCTGAACAGGATCATACCCTTAATGTGTTTACTAGCTGATGTGTTGACTAACTGTGACCATCTGCAAGATGTTGTAGGCTGAGGTCCAGCTTTAGTTCCATGCAACCTATGTGTTAGTGAGAAGGATGCACCCTTCCATACATAATCCAGCTGGTGCCATTTAGTAGGCCTCACAGTGCAGTTGTATCAGGATGCTGAAGCACATTTATGCTCATATTGGCTGCATGTGCAAAAAAGTGACGTCTCCTTGCTAAATTAGAGTGTTAGCCTCCTCTTTTTATCCTTTAATTTGAGTGTGTTTTGCCATGTATGTGTGTTTAGAGTCCTAAACTGGGCATTCTGTGCAGTTACTAGAAATTTATAATATCAGTAGTGGTTATACCATACAAAGTGTGTGTGGCAAGTGTATTTTGTTCACCCATTATATGTGCTACCATATGATTCCAAAGACTCCATATGTCCATTCCAAGGACAAAGAGGACTCTGCAAACATTTATAGAAATACCAACCCCAGAAGAATATATATTATACAAGGCTGAAACATATTGGATCACTTCAAGGAATATCCCTGAGACACTGTCCCTTCATTTGAACAGGTTATTTTGGATGCTTCCACTTTTGTTTAACTAGGCATATTTATGGTAAAATGAAGCCCTAACTTGGTATCATGATGATGCATGGTGCCCATCAACTTATATTTCTTTAGAAACAATTAGTAAAAGAAATGTGACCTCAATGTAGTTAGTGTGTCTTTACCCACCATACAAGAGTTAGGCATCCTCCAGATTTTTAGAGTACAAATTCCATCAGCTCCAGCCAGCATAAGGGATTGTGGGTGTTATAATTAAAAAATAGGAAGGTATCGGGTTGCCTGTCCCAGCTGTAGACAATGACCTGGTTTGCACAACACAACAAAATTATCCATGATTTAGTTTATCCATGACAGCTGTTGCACAGTGTCAGGTGGTGTGAGTATTGTTTTTCCAAGGTGCTAAACTTGTCATGATATTTTTTGTGAACCCAGGCAGCACAGCTTGCTCAAGGGTTAGACAACCCTCAAATAACCCATGGCTAGTTTTTAGATATTTGAGCTGCTTATTTCAGGCTGTGGAAGAAAAACTAGGTTCACTCCATCTCTACTGTCCTTCTACCAGCAGGTAAAGCCTGCTTTATTCAAGAAGTTGTTTACCTGTAATAAGATTGCTTGATGAGGATGATTTGATTGTTACATTTCATTGCATTTTAATATATTGTTTTAATCAATTTTAATCAATGTTATGTGCCACATTGGCTGCCATATTTTTTCTAAAAAGATAGGGTACAAATCAAATACATAAATTTGAGAGCAGAGTTACTCTCAAACAGTTCCTACCGCCTGGATGTGCACAACATGACAAACCATGGCAAAGTGTTTTCATGCAAAAATGGTGCTCAGTGTAAAACAACCCCTGTGGGTAAGTTAGGCCAGAGTGAACTGTCTTCTTGTGTAAACCAAGCCAAAGAATTAGTGTGGGGAATGTGATCATGTGATACTTGAGGGCCAATAGGCAAGAGATTCCAAAGCTAACTGTACACACCTGAAATTGAAACATGAAGCACTGAATTCATGTATCCAAATAACACAATGCTTAAAGGTCAATAGACAATATACCTCAGCAAGAGATGCCAGAACTAAGTTAAACAAATGAGATAAGGTAAAGTAAAGGTTTCCCCTTGATATTAAGTCCAGTCATGCCTGACTCTAGGGGGCGGTGCTCATCTCCGTTTCCTAGCCAAGGGAGCCAGCATTTGTCCACAGTCTCCGTGGTCATGTGACCAGCATGACTAAACACTGCATAGAATGCTGTTACCTGCCCACTGAAGTGGTACCTTTTTATCTACTTGCATTTGCATGCTTTCGAACTGCAAGGTTGGCAGGAGCTGGGACGGAGCAACGGGAGCTCTCCCCATTGTGCAGATTTGAACCGGTGACCTTTTGATCTGCCAGTCCAACAGCACAGCGATTTAAGCCACTGCGCCACCTGCAGTCCCTAAATAAATGAGATACTACAGTAGAGTTCAGTGACATCCAATAATATGCCATTTTGTTGGACTTCATCAGATGCTGTCATCAAAGTTTTTCTTCTTTTCACTACCAAATGATTAAAAACATTTCTCTGAATAAGGGATAAGAAGTGACCATTAATGTAAAGTTAATGATAACCTGTGTCAGAATAGTGATGTGGTTGTCCTCTAGACTGACACTGAGTTAAACTACCTGGTCATAAAACAAGTATAACTAAAGTTTCCACCTGTGTTATTGGCAAACAAAAACCCTAGCCATCATATTTTAATTTCTTTCATGCAAAACACCCACAGCTGCCCAAAAGCTAAGATCTTCTTAAAACACTTCCTCAAATTCCTTTGCTTTCCCCAATCAATCTAAAGCCAGTATGGTGTCATGGTTGGGAGTGCGGGACTGGGACAATCTGGGCTCCAGTCCCCACTCAGCCATTGAGTTCACTGGGTGTCTTTGAGCCAGATTCACAGGCTCAACCTAACCTATTTCATAGGGTCATTGTTGTGAGGATAAGACTGAGACAAGGAGAAAGAGAATTATGTAAGTTGCCTTAAGTTCCTTGGAAGGAAAGAGGTGAGATATAAATATAATAAATAAATGAAATGAATAAAGGCCAGTCATAACTCAATCTTGGAATTTAACACGTTAGGGTTTACTGTATCCACTTTAAAAAGGCCTGCTTTCTTTCATACTAGCATATCATACAGTCATTTGTGCCTATGAGAGTATATTCTGTCAATAACGGAAAGCTACATTCTGTACTAAAGCTGCATTCATATTGCACTGTACTACAGTGCATGTTTTGATACTGTGTGAGGCCTTTTCAACGTACAGTCACCAGCATATACTGTAGATCACCCTTCTTGAAGCACAACTTGAAAAGCAACAGCCTACATACACAGTGATCTTGAGGGTGTTCAGAAATGGCAGTTGAACAAATGCTGTATGTCAAATGTCCTTCAGTCATTATCCTACCACTTACACAAAAATCAATGTCAGAATTCACCAAAAAGTACCCGAAATTATTCATTCATTTGAAACATACCTAAGGTAGAGCACTCCAACCGGAAATATATCTTTCAATTTGCCAGTGCTGAAGTAATACTGTCACAGTGAAAAGAGATAAATGGGAATACACAAAGGAACAAATGATTTTACTGGATATACAGTTCTGTCCATTAACAGACACTATCTTGGGACCAAATCTACATGGTATTTTGCATATCTCACTGCAAGGATAGCCCCTCTTACACAGTGGAAGCGTCAATATCTCTTTTTTATTGGTGTAACTCTTTTCATGAGATATCCTCCCTAAGCTAAGATACTGTCCATGACGTAGAACCCTAGGAAACTGGTTAGAATGAAATAAAGAAAAATAAAAAATAGAGTTCAAAAAATTAATTAGGTCTTGTACAACACTTGGACAAATAAACAATTGTGATCTCTATAGATTTCATTATTGAAATATAAATTTCTATTTAG